CCCCCCCCCCCCCCCCATTTTCTTTTAATAAACATATCCACAGACACACAATTTTATGTACCTGAATTACTCATTCTTTTGCACATTCTCATACAGCATCCTGCAAAATTTATTTCTGGGAATGCTGGCTACACTACAGTACTTAAGATCAAGTACTAAGACAGTGTCAGGATCTTTCCATATAAAGATTTCCAGGGGAAAAAAAAGTTATGAAAGTACAAATCTCTGAAAGCCTTTAATAAAGGTCCAGCAACTGAAGACTGAGAAGAGCAAATTAATTACTGAAAAGTTTCTAACTACATAAACCAAGAAATTCTGATCAATACTTTTAACAAAATAGAGGTAGACACTAACAATGTAATCTGCATCAAAATGACGTAAGTTTTAACATAGACACACAGGGCAAGTAATTTTTTTCACAGTCCCTTTAACAGAAAATGTGACTTCGTTTGCATAAGAAAAATTGTGATGACTCTCCTAGTACAAATACAGCAGTTTGAAAAACTGATGTAAAGAATGCTCTTGCATTCTTTAACAGTTCTTAGTTTGTGCACATACTCACCCCTTTTTAAACCTATAATCTTACAAGATCTTTACAAGTCACAGCTGATGTAGGAAATGAAGTTGACCAGACCTCCTTTAGAGAAAAACTCCAATAATATTAACAGGATTTCAACCTACAGCGAAGTGTCCTACACTGTCATGCAGTGTCACACACATATTAATTCCCAGGGTGCGTGAGTCTATACTAGACTAGAAATTCTGAAGAGGATTCTATTTTGTCTACACAAATTCCTATGTACTGAACAGTGCCTTATTAGATGCAAAGAGGCATCACTTGCAAAGGTAACCTGGAATGAGAAAAACTAACAAAATTGTAAAATAAAACTCTGCTGTTTGATAAAACCTGATTAGTGCTCATTCCCTCAGACTCAACATGAAGCCTACTCTAACTTTTTTCCAAACCTTGAAAAAGAAATTAATTCCAGGCTTTGAACATCAGGCAGCTGGACAGCTAAAAAGAGTAGGGTTTTTACCTTACCTAAAAGCCTGCTGAGAAGGGTTAAAAAAATCATTAAAAATATCTGAGCATCCAAATACACATTCTCTCACTGAAACTCCCTACAAGTAAAGGTCTATCAAAACATTACTTTGTCCAGTTCTAGCTTACCCTCCACTAACACAAATGGGCTGGATAAAACTAACCAGCTGGCTTTTAAAACTGTGGTTGAAACAATTTTAGACCTTCCTTAAGTGTAAGTACAGAGATTATCAAAGATTTCCTCCCCTTCACAATTACCTTTTACTGTATATTTCAACAGGAATATCATTCAGTCTCAGCCAGGGTGTGTAGAATGTAAATTAAGAGGCAATTTTAGGGCTTCCGTGAAGACAAACAGGACTTCACCCTTGAGAGAACATGTATTTTCCATGGCTAGTTTTATTCTCAATTACACCACAATCATGTGTTGGCAATTACTGTCTTAAAAAGCTATGAAAGCAGGATTTCAACCCAGCAACAAATTTAGGATCAACTCTATATTCAGTTACAAGTCACTGACCTACAGGGACCTTCCTAGAATGCTTGATGTTAGCAAGTTTCACTATACATACTCAAGGTATGCCCAACTTCAAATATCAGCAAAATTTTATCTAAAGGGACTCATCAATAAATGAAGACATTTATATACTTGAGGGAGCCATAATTTCTGTTTTCACTGGTATCAATTACTATCAGAATGTTTCTCAGTATATAAAAGTGAGGGCAAATGTCAACAACAAGAATTTAATACACAAGTGTGTGGCATTAAGTGCATGGCTTAAGTAGGGTTCTGTTTGGGATTTTTTTTATATTCTTTTAAAGTGCTTTGTGTGATCCACCATCAAAACATGCTTATGTAAAGACAGTTGCTAGCATTGTTGATATCACAGGAATACAAAAATTAAGCATTCACACTATTGCTTTGACTTGAATATTCAAAAAAAAACTGCAAAGGCCCATATATTTAGATACAGAAATGTTTCTACATCTCTTATATACAACCAAAGAACGTTACACTCAGATTATTAGAGTCAGTCTGTTCCAATACAGTTTACAAAGTGACAAAGCCCACAGTAAAGCTATTGCTTTACTTTTGCAATGTAAACACATTTCAAAGGAGAATATGCCAACAGTTTCAGAGATGAGCTTACTTAAGTCAGTAAAACCAAAGCAACTGGGCATGTCAACCTTTTGTCTCTACGAAGCTTAGCTCACAAGCTCAGGCTGTACATTTATTCTTTGAAGGACATCTTCTGGCATACAAAAGACAGGGCTGACAGCCTTAATTTGTTCTTCTCCTAATAAAGATAGTCCAGCAATTCCAAATAAGGTGTGAAATGGATCCACCTGGGAGAAGAAAGAAACAATTGCATTTCCAAAAGTCAATCAGCTTTTCATTTGTACGAAATAAAGCTTTTGTTTGCTAGCAAGAGAACTGCAAATCTCCATGCTGGAAAAGACAAGGCAACTGAACATACTTTCACTTGTGCTGACGCATGTTGACAGGCAAGACAATTTCCACAGCATGCACTTCCAATACTATGATTTACTCAGAGATGCTTGTCGATAGTCTGCTGCTAAGATGATTTTCAACTCTGAATTTGGCAGGAAGCACTCATGTGTCCCTATTAGCATGCAATGTCATAGGGCAGCAGAAACAAAGATTATTTTAAAAGTAAATTTGATCATTTACAAGTACCACTTCCATAAATTCCTCATGTGCTCTTTAGCAACATTATAATGCTCTTTAATGATAAATACAAAATTCCTCCCATTTTAAGAACATCAAACACTTTCCAAATGACAGACAAGAGTAAAGAGATTTCTCCCCCTCCTCAAAGTGGGAATAACGTATCAGCTTGCAAAGGAATAGAAAGCTACTTCCGTTTTTAATGCATTGCTGGAGAAAGGAGAAGACATAATCAGCTAAGACTTCACCCTGACTGCTGACAAATAAGCAGAAAAGTGTTTTATAGGAATTGCATTGAAGTTTCATAATACTTTTAATTTTATCTGTCCAGCACCTGTGAAAGATATGAACTTTATTTGCCATTTTACCTGGACAGTCTCAATTATTTCCACTTGAAACCAGAGAGAACAGACCAGCTAAACCACAACTGCTCTCTCAACCAAGCAGAAAATCCACACCTCCAGCCTCTTCATAATGTTATCACAAAAGCTGCTTCCTCCCTCATCTAGACAAATGCCAGTGAGCGTATTTATTCAGTGGGCAGGCCAGCACATAACAGAAGTTAGCATATAAGGATTCTTAATAAAAACTTATGACTCATTTAGATCAGGCAAAACCACCACGAGAGTTGAAGACTACTTAACCTGAGCTGGACTGTAGCTTGAGTATTGTTTTATAAAACAAAACAACCCCCCCCAAACCACCAAACAATATTTTTACAGAGATCTTCCAAGTGGTCTTGTGAGAAGAGGTTTGTGCAGTATGTGTTACGGGAACCAAACCAGAATTTGTAAGGAATGGCAACTGACTGCAGTGGGGGATACTACAGTGCAAGCACAACATAAAACACATGCTCCCCAAGTTAAGCCTTCGAGCGTGACCCTACCCTACTCTTTCCTTCACAGTAAACTGCAGCCTCTGCAAAACGCTGACACCTGGATCACCAGTTGTTACACTCTAAGGAGGAAACTTACTTTTTGAGTTGAAATTGTCACTTAAGTATATTTAATAAAGGATTATTTACCATATCTCCTGGTCTGTCAGCAAATCCTCCAGTCTCCTCATCCTGGCAAGCCAAAATAAAACAGCGCAGTTTCTCTCTGTCAATCCAGTGTAACCTACCAATCATCTTCAGAGATGCTAGCACCCACCATGAATAACATACATCAGGTAACTGCCAAGTAGAGGAGCAGATTATTATTTGATTTTGTTTTAAAACATGACACTGCAAATTTTATTGGTGATTCTGCAAATTACTAGGTGTGCTATCATAATACTGTTGCAGAGAAACAACATAAAGGGTCTCTTTGGGGTAAACAAGTTCCTGGACGCAGTATCTTTCCAGAGGACTTCCCTTTTCCAAGAAGGGAGTGTCTTTTTCAAATCTCTTCCCTTCTTAAACAAAACCACAAGAATATGATTTTGAAATGGCCTCCACCTTCTGTGAGAGAGACTAAAAACACCCAGCACCTTTTCCTGGAGTAAGTACAAAGAAGTTCATATCAACTAGTTCCATTAAAAAAAAACAAAAAACCAACCATCTGTTGGTTGGTTATCTGTTTGCCAGTGGAGATTATTCTAGGTTACACAATTTTCTAGTGTGATGTGGAACACTACTACACCCAGGATTTATGTCCAGTAGAACAGTAATTTTTGTACAAATCCCAATGTCAGAATTCAAGTCCTGATTTAACCGGATACTGGTTCAAATGGTCAGCAAGACGTACTTCAGCACGTGCACTTTCCTAAACTGAGGACTCAAGCTAAGCATAGCTGAGGACTGCCTAACAAGTATTAGTAACAAAATGAAGAATCAAAATGAAGGCCTGACTTCTTTGAGAAGTTTACTAATATTTCATAGAAGTCATGACATTTTCCAGAAGTAATGGAAGTAATTTCCAGGTTTAGAAAAAATAATCTCTATTGAGGTTTGAACAAAGGAAAAGAAGCCACCTAATACCTTCTCTGGTCGTCCATTGAGGCCTCCAGAAGGTAACTGACGTTCACAAAGCCACCAACCCAGCAAATCAACATTTATTTGATGCAACTGGTCTGTTATAGCCAGAAATCCTGTGCAACAATAGATCTAAAATTACAGACATAAATTTTTTGTGTATTTAAAAACTAAGTATAGTTTAGCAGACTAAATGCAGGAAGATCTCAAAGGAGGAATACTGTCATGCAAGCACAACACAAACACACATTTCAACTTCTAGTTTCAAATTCATTCTACTTTTCCATTAGAAAAGTATGCTATTGTTACAGTTGTTTTTGCATAAAAGTACCAGTTTCACAATGTAATTACAGAACGGGAAGATTTTACTAGTGTAAGACACTAATGCAAGTTTTGGAAAAAGATCATAAAAGATCAGGTAGAACCAGAGTTTTATTTTAAAAAACACAGACTCTCAAGCCAGAGTACTTAAGCTGATTTCTGCAGGCTGGGTATGGCCTTTATGAAAAATTTGCATCCAGCCTATGGTTTGCTCCTGTACATGCCTCTCACCCTAAGGCTTGTGGAGAGCAAACTAAAGACCAAGTGAATTCTCTAGCAGAAACAGATTAACCCTGGTCATACACTATCCTGGCAATCCCACATATATCTAGTCATGTCAGGGTTACTTTCAATTAATTAATTAATCCCCATTTTATCTTTTCCTGCACAATAACATCTATAGTGCAACAGCATATTCTGGTCACATTTCATGCAGTCACTAAGAAAGCAGCTAAGCACAAACTGCAAGAAACCACAGTATCAACTGAAGACTGCTCGTAATAGCCTTTTCCTAATAAAACACATCCCAGAAAAACCAACAAAAAACCCCAACAAAAGCACACATCAACAGGGATATGCCTATCCAAGAATACTGCAAAATAAGTGGGCTATTCCCCGAAAACTTTTGAACTACTGTGCAGGGGAAGGAGTTGCCCTTTACAGCATTTTAAGGAGCATGTGAACATGCACAGCAGATCTGATCCTCCCAGGAAATGCCAGCTGCAAGACCGGGTTCAGCTACTTAATCTGACTTCCCTGAGTACTAGAACATAGTCCAGCCATTTATACTACACGGGCAATGCTACTGTAGATAAAACTTGTAAGATAAGATATACATGTACCAGGTTTAATTATTTTTTTTCCCCCTCGATTTTAAAGAAGGATGGGGAGGGGGGGGGGGGCATGACACACCCAATGCTTTTTCTCAACAAAATACTTCTAGTATTTTCATGTGCTGATGTGAATCCTGGCTACAGCATTGCTCACCATAACTATGGAAAATAAACAGGTGATTTCAACAGCATTAAAATATTTATTAGAAGTTGATTTCTATTCATAAATTCAGGTTAAGCACAATAATCCCTTCCATGAAAAAAATAAAAATAGGAAACGTATTTTTTTGGTAACATATTTGCTGGAAGAAGTCATTGAGGTTCTGTTCCTTGAGAGATCCCTTAATGTGTTCCAATTACACTACTGCATCCTCTTCTCAACTTAAGCATTTTCACAACTCACTGTCACTAGCAAAACACTCTTTAGTGCCTACAACAAAACATGATCAGTGTTCCCATGCCTGAGTTAAGCATCTCATCCTAAAACTGACCTTCCTCAAAAAATTAAGCAAACCTCCCCTTAAGAAGGTTCAAGTCTTTGAGTTCATCAGCTGGTAATTATCAGACATAGTATACAATTGACCTTTATGTGTCATTGTGATTTGTCAGATGTAATGACAGATCTAGTCCAATGTCTCCATTAATATCCATTTCAAATTCTCTAAAAATCCTCATTCTATTGCAACTTCACTACGCGAAGATTGAAATACAGTCCTAAAAGTTGTTCCCTTATGATCTTTTCTTTTTCCCACACTACAACCTCCTGAGTCTCTACTCATCTCCTCAGATTGATCTACCTATTTGTTCATTTATTTTGACTAAGGTACTAAAATTAGGCATTTGGGAAACAAGAAAGGTTCACCAATTGACATCACTGATAAATGTTGCAAAGAAACATCTGCAGGGATTACATGACGCTTGCTAATTTAAAATATCTCCATATAAAGAAACACTCACCTGCCCTGCATGTGATTCAGAACCCGGTCTACAACCAAATCCTCCGTCAAAGTTCATACAGGACAAAACAAATTCTACTGCCTTCCCCACATCAATAGCATCCAGCTTTCCCTGCAAGTCAGAAAAGCAACTAATGCACTTGATATTCTACCAAGCTCATAACTGCAGAAACTTCAGCAGTATTTGTGCAAGTAATACGAGAGGACATACCTATATAATGATACAGGACTTACCAGAAGCGCAAGAGTTGCTGCAGCACAGAAGGAGAACCTTGTATCTATTTCTCCTAGAACACAAGGAGTAGGGAATGAAATAAGAGAATTTTAATTAACAGTAACAAAAATACATTTAAATCACCACTGAAAATATGCAACAAAACGTTAAATACTAGTTAAAACTGCCCCACACTATTTCCTTTTCCAGCCCATGTATGTTTAATGCACATAAAAGTGAACAACTCATTTGAGCTGGTGTGTAGTCAGATCTACATCCAAACCAATTCAACTAGTGATAATTTACAAGTATATAATTTTAGATTTATCTGTAGTGCTCTACTAGATAATTGCAGAGCAGTGGACTCAGAAATACTCAGACACAACTCGTGATCTGCCTTAAACCCAGGCAGCAGTAGAAGACATTTTTGGTTTTAGAGGAAGACTGGTGAAAGTTGTGATTTTTCTTTTGCATACGCACAGCTGGAAGCTAAACAGAAAACACTCTGCCTACAGCAGAACGGCTGCCTGGCAATTCCACACCAGTACAACTCTTAGCACAAACTCCAAGCAATTAATACTTGAAGTCAAGATTTAAAATTGAACCCAGCCACAAACATTCATTTTTTTTGGTCAAACTGATGCAAGACTTTTCTTCTTAAGAAAACCGCAAGCTGAGACGTATAAAACAAACACACGCTGTTCTGTGCAACATCAGGTGTAAACTCCTTCAGCTGCGCTGCCAACTGCATTTCAGAAATAACGTGAATCCACTGTGCATTCCATACGTTTGTTCCATACTGCAGCAAAAAGGATGCAGCAAACTATGAACCATTTTACCATATAACTGCTACCTTTACAGCAGTGTACATACACTGCCGTGATCCTGATTGCTGGATTCTACCAGAACAATACCATGAGCGATATGCAACACATTTTATTGAAATTTAAGTGTTCCATAGGGACAAGTATTTTTAGAGTGACTAAATATTTGTGTTACAGTCTAAAAATCTGTTCATAAAGAATTTATGTGCAGAAACAAAATTAGTATTAAGAGAAGTTCATAAGAACAAAACTAGTTTTTTCTCATTCCCATATAGCGAAAGATCCTTTCACAGCCAACATGGATAAAGACCATAACTGACTGACATTAAATAGCAAGCACGAAATATTCCTTATGGAATAGCACAGCTCGTATATCAAAGTACTGTCTTTCTTTTTTAAGAGCTGGACAATTTATTTTTAATACAAGAATGGAAATTAAGTTTAGAATATTCATGAAAGGAATGAAATACAGCTCTGTCCTTCACAAAACCTCATATTTCATAACTCGAAAAATAGAAGCATTCACATGCAAAAGTGTTCACAAGCAAAAAGATCATCCAAAGAAACATTAAGTTCACTGACTTGCACATGTTAATGTAGTCACTAAATTTAGGTATCTAAAAATTACCCCATTTGTCTCCAGCAAATGATCCATCTTCTTTTTGCAAGTTCTGTATATATTCAACAATTTTATTTACATCAACAACATGGAGACTATCATATAAGATAAGAATCTGGAAAAAAAGGAGACAGTAATAATCAAAGAGGCAAAAATTTTAAAACTTTATTTCTTTAAAAAGAAAAAATCCTAGATTTATAAAAAACTGTGTTTAATTGACTGTGAATACTATTTGGTAAGACTTATTAAAATAAATTTTCATTCACTGCAGTTCATCTATGTCTAAAAACTTTAAGAAATTCTCAAATGAAAATACAGGCAATTCAAGCTGAACTCTTTCGTGCTTTGTTACTTTCCAACTTCCAGCTCTCCTTTCAAAACCATGATCAGGTTTATTTGTTTTTATGCTAGCTTTATGTAGAACAGTGACTTTATTATGGTTAAATTTTGTAATGAGGCAATGACATCCTAGACTTAAAAATCTGTAGTTTGTACACTGCTGCTACCTGAACATGTGCAAGTGTAAGTTAAGCAGTTAGTTACTAATACCACTTACAGTCCAAGCGTGCAGCAATTACTGGTTTTGAAATGTAAGATTTTTATTTACATTCCATTTTTAACCATAACAAGGAGAACCAAATTGCAGTAATTTAAGAAAAAGTATGAACAATATAGTTAGACACAAACTGTACAGTCAATATATTCTGGAAGAAAAATAAAGGTCACAGTAGGGGATACAAAGTTTTCTGAGCTAGCACTGATTTGAACCAGTAAACCCACATGACACGATGTCATGCAAAACCAGTACTCTTTCTGAGCCCCAGCTGGCTTCCTGGTTTTACTCATAATTTCCATAATCTGTATAGACAGTAATTATGAATTTATTATAAATAGCATAATAGAACAGTTGAAACTAAGCAATATTATAGTGCAATCCTGAAAAATATCAACATCTATGACTCTGAACACTTAAGAGAGTTAGCTGGAATCTTTTAACTGTTAGATAAAATTTAAGTCTTACGGCAATGCAAAAAGAATTTGAACTCCAACAGAAAATATATAATCATAGCATGCTCCTTAAAAAGCAAATCTGAACAAATTACTGTGAACTGTGATCAAAGGAAGATGCGACCTGACACTTTACCCATTCTGGATACGCAGACAGGACTCAGGGGCGTTTGTTCACTAAGACCATGCACGCTCACTAGGACACGCTGGTTAAGTTCACCACAACAACTTTACATCAGCACTTGCTGACACTTCAACTTTGCACATCTAGAGCTGCATTCAGTTAACATGAAAAGTCTAGTAACATCAGGTATTTAGAATCACAGAATCATCTAGGTTGGAAAGGACCTGAAGATCATCTAGTCCAACCATTAACCTCACAGCAACTGTTTAAGAACTAACATCTCTAACATGTCAAAGGAAACAAGCTCATAATTGTAGCCCATTTTCCTCAGACTGGATTAGGACTCCTGAAAGGAGCCTGATGGGACAGTCTGGAAAAGTTCAAACCTCACAGCCTAAAGAAACTTTCGTTTCCTGGTTCTCAGAGTAATTTTTGAGCTAAAATGGTGATAAATATTAATTTCAGAGCAGATAATACATGCCAACACTCCTCACGGACCCAAGAAAACAGCGTTCCTCTGTTCTAGCTAAGGGTTTCAAACCTAACACTTTAAATCCAACACCCTTTCCTCCTAAAACAGGATGCTATCTTATTCATTTGTAACACAATTTAAATATTTCTTCCGTAAGACTGGACTAGAGATATATTATGCAAGCAATTGTTTAGAAACATTTGAGCCTTTTTGGTACTTTTTTCCACAAGGGTTCACATGAGATGAACAAAACCAAAACCACCAAAACAGACAACCAGAAACAGTGAGAAATTAAACCTGTAATGGTGATAGTGTAAAAAACCAAGAGTTTCTCGGGAGAAGAGTACACAACAAATAAATAAATAAATAAAATGCTGAACAGACTGGCATCATTTTTAAGTTATATCCAAAAAAAGCAGATTGTAGGAACACAAGAACTGAGTACTACAATGCTTCTTTGTACATTACGAAAGTCTAAACATAATTATACATTTCACATATAGTTTATATATTACATAATTATGAATTAATATGCTATATAAAAATAATAATATATAGTAATATACACATTAAAAAATAAAACCCCAAACAGTACTCTTATTCTGGACATACATATCTTTCACCTCACTGTAACCTAAGAAGAATAAAATCCAAAATTATCTACAAAAAACTCCAGTAAAACCTGGACCGAAGAAGTATTTCAAAAAACCTTACAAAATTTATCAAGAATGTAGTCACCATTAAATGATCATTAAAAGCACAATGCTCCCAAATCTGACAATTTTTAAAGAAATTATACAGCCAAATCCTAAGGTTTTGTACCTTAGATTTTTTTTTTTAATAAGGTACCAAAATAGTTTTTGTCATTGGCATCCAACAGTACCTGGTTCATAAACCAGAAGTCATCAAAATCATTCATTAAAAATGTTTTTCTTCTAAAATTACCCTGTTACATTTACCTGGACAGCACTGAGGGTATACAGAAGATGAGGATCATGCCCTATGCTGGCACTTATTCCACCACATTCATGTTGACATGATTTGATGAATGCCAGAATTTCTTCTTTGTTCATTCGGTGCAGCTGCCCCATGAGATCCATTGCTGTCAGCCCCCAGTAAACACCACTCATCCTCAAATACTCCGACATACAGTATTCCTAAGTAGTGCATTATTTTAGTTCTTAATCAGACAAAAAGATCAGTATAGAGCAATGAAAACACATCAGTTAACATTTACAAAAGCTTTCAATACATCAATCATCTTCCATTCCATTAACAACTTGCTATGGATCGGCCACTCGCAAGTATCCTGTACACATGTACATACAGACACACGGCACACACGTGTATCTACACATACTACACACCCTTCCTCCACTCTATTTTCTAGTTCAAAGCATCAAGCTCAATGTCAAATACATACAGCTAGTTAACCAGCAGCTCACTTCAGATCACCAGGTATTATCCTGGTATTATCAAACCACCCCAACTAATCTAAAAAATAACAAGTCTAACATTTAGTGAAACTTACTTCCAAGCGTCAGAACTGCCAAAGTTGCACTAAGAAGTGACATTTTCACATTGAATTCTCTTACAGTGATTACATCAGCTACACTACCCCTAAACATTTTCTACCTGCAGTACTTTTTAAGCACAGGTCTTGTGGACAGTAAAGGTAACTGCAACTTTTCTTCAGACATAAGCAGTTATTGACATTTTTCACCTACTGGAACTGGAATTCCATTGTTGTGGGCTACATCTGATGACCTACGACTGTAAAATTGATGTTTGTTAAAGTGTTTCTCGAACCCAGCAAGCACGATGCAGTGCTGTGGTGAGATTCCATATGTGGTCCCATTAAAAGAGCAATGTATAAATGCACCTATACTCCTCGTGCATTCTAGCACATTAAGGAGCAATAAGTAGTTAATTCCTCAGGTCTCAGAGCTAAACCGATAATCTTCAAATTTATACTCAGATAATACATGCCAGAACTCATCACAGACCTAAGGAAATTAAAAAAGACATCTTTCTTTTATACTTTGGATTGCAGGGCAAGGAACAATTAGCTTGTGAGCATGCATATAACCCTTAACTCTGAGCCAGTAAATAAGGATTACTATCGCTGTAATAAAACCACAGCTGTACTGAAACAAAACGATACCTACATAATCATCTTTCTTTGTTCCGTATGAAGCTATATAGTCCGCATGTTTCTCTGAAAGCAACGTGCTTGGGGCATCGGGTTTTATTACAACATCCTTTTGCGGCGTCCCCTGTAAAAAGCACCAACAAAACGTCAGTTGTATTGTCAGTTCAAGGGGTTTTTCCACCTCGGCGTCGTTCAGGCAACACCAGCAGCAGCCACTGAGGAACGGACGGCTCTGTCCGCTTTGAGCACGGGGCGGATCACGTATCTCTCATCGTCGCTCTTCAGTCTGGCTAAATCCTTCCCAGGAAAAGGCTGCGAACGAAATCTTTCTGTAAAGTTGAGAAAAAACACCGATTCGCCCGAAAAAACGGGAGCCGTCCACCGCACGCGCCCCACCCCGCGAAGGCCCCGCCCGGCC